CAGTGCTACAAACAAGCACATGGCACCCCTTCCTCCTGTCTGCTTTTTTTACATCTGCTGAAAGAAGGCATCATGAGACAATTTGTTTTTCTCTGCTCCCTTAGAGGATGCAGAGGCCTTGAAGAGAAGGAAAAGAAGAGGTGGAGAGAAGGAATATATAAAAGAAATGGGGGAAGGAAAAAAAAAACACTTGTGCTGTGGCATAAGCAATTGAAATGCTTTCCTTGTGGGGTATGTTTTCAACAGCTATTGAGTTTCTTGCATGCTTTTTCTTGTTTTGGTTTTATACGTATCTGCTGCTTTCCAGTACCAAAGACAGGACACTGAACTACAGGCCCTGACCTGAGTGTGGCATTTCTTTTGTCTTTTATGTATCCTGGTGATGGCATATGAAGAATTGTGTATTTGGAGACAGTTAAAGTATTACCTTGTGTGATTTCTTTTTTCCCCATTCAGCTGACTTGCAACCACACTGGTGCTGTGCTTCAGACTCATAAATGCACAGGAAATGTAGCTGTTACTATATGATGGATGCTTTTAGATTTCAGTAGTCCCACAAGCTCCAAGGTGTTCATGCTCCATAAATGTATACATTACGAACTGTGAGACCACCTTCAACTGGGGCAGCTAGTGATGCTTCAGAAAAGACTGGAAGCAGAGGTAGTGCAGCACAGGAATCCATGGGGCATGAATGGATATGCACCTTTCACTGAGTACCACAGAGTCTCTGAATGTTGCTTCTGGAAACAGAACTTGGTCTTCTTAGTTGCTATAAATTGAAGCGGCTGAAGTGTATCTAATTTTGGACTAGTTTTGAAGATAGCTTTTTCCTCTTTGCAGCATCTTTCTACTTTGTGGTGTTAAGACTGCCTCCATGTTCTGAGCATCCTTATAACTGCTCATGCTCTCTCTCTCCCTGTCCCTTTTCAGACCTTGTTCCTCTGGGAATGGATGCTGAAATATATTGGAGTTAAATAGAATAGAAAAGTTTGATATAGACTGTGTAGACTGCGCATCTAGGATTGGAAGCATTTTTAATACTGATTTCTTAATTACCAAACTTACTGTAAGTTCTACAGATTGGGCGTTAGTTCTATTTTTCATCCTCTTTTGCTTTTTCACAACTCGTGTAATATTGGCAATGAAAATCCAAAAGGATGGTTTGCCATCTTTCCTTCTGGAGCTTTGCTAACAGTATGCATAGCTGGCTGTTGCTCCTGGCTAAAGATGACCTGCTTCAAAAGATGTTGCTGAAGATAGCTTAGCTACACCAGCAAGCATCTCCTGGGTTTTCATTTAGTTGTGTTTTCTGATGTAGCACCTTCTTGATATGAAGGACCCTTAATGTGGACTCTATCCAGTGTATTCCTGAGGTAGAAACTTTAGGGACTAGATTGGGGTTTTGCTCTTGTTATCTCAACCCTTCCCCTATTTGAGCAAATGGCTCCTGAATTCGTAGCACTGCACATCTTCTGGCTCCATCCAAACTGTGCTGCATAATATTCCTTGGGAGTTCTTGGAGTGTTTTTCTCAGTGGAGAGCTATGGGCTTTCTATTTGGCCTCCTGCAGCAGGACTGAGTTTTGTTTTCCATCTAGGCATATAAAAATTGCCCTGTATTTTGCTTCCAGTGATCTTGGATGGACATTGGCAAAGACTTAGAGCTTTGAACAGACACAACAAAATACACTGAAAGTCAGGAATTTTATACTGGAAAAAGGTGTTTCTTACTAAAATGTAAGCTCAGTTAACTAATTACTGTAGCCTATGAATTGAGTAATCAGATCAGAGTGCTTTTGATCTGAATAGTTTACATATTAATGTTTTTGATAGCCACTAACAGTTTAGCAAACACATTGCTGTAGATGTGATGGGAAGAGGTGTATAATACAAGTTGTGGTCATCCAAGATTCTTCAGTAAATGGCTGGATGAAACTTTACTCTAGAAAGAAGGTAAGTTTACAAAAGAAAATCAGATAGAATAACAAGTGTAACCTTTATGAGAGGCTTTAGACTGAATCTAAGTCATCACTAAAGTGTTGCTTTAACTTGCTCATTTTTTATATGTAAAAAATTTGAAGTATATAAATTTTGTTGTGTGTTTTGTGGTTTTTTTTTTTATTTGTTTTTGTTTTTTAGCTAGCAATTATTTTCTAAGTGGTAAATGTCATTCAACTTTCAGAAGGTACAAAAAGAAAAATGCAAAGAAAAAAGAAAAATATGAAATAAAATCTCATACTTCTTTGCTGTTATCTAAGCAGCATTGTGAAACAGGTACTCTCAGTTGTTGCTGTTTCAAACTCTTTTCTCTTGCATGTAGTTGCCTGCTAATGTTATGTGGCAAGTGGACGGGAAGGGTGGGCTGGTGAACTCTTGTCCTATTGAAAAATAAGGCAAGTAAACCACTTATTGCCCATTATCAAGATATGTCCTAAATTGTGTGCAGGATTCTTCCAGGTGCTGTCTGAATAAATTAGTCTTGAAAATCGGTTTTGAGGTAGGTGACAGAGAATCATAGAATCATAGAATAGTTAGGGTTGGAAAGGACCTTAAGATCATCAAGTTCCAACCCCCCTGCTGTGGGCAGGGACACCTCACACTAAACCATGCCACCCAAGGCTCTGTCCAGCCTGGCCTTGAACACCACCAGGGATGGAGCATTCACAGCTTTCCTGGGCAACCCCTTCCAGTGCCTCACCACCCTAACTACTAGTAAACAACTTTCTGCTTATGTCCAATCTAAACTTCCCCTGTTTAAGTTTTAACCCATTGCCCCTTGTCCTATCACTACAGTCCCTAGTGAAGAGTCCCTCTTCAGCATCCTTATAGTCCCCCTTCAGATACTGGAAGGCTGCTATGAGGTCTCCACGCAGCCTTCTCTTCTCCAGGCTGCACAGCCCCAACTTTCTCAGCCTAAAAGAAGCCTTAGGCCAGGTACACCTTTTTTCACCAGTGTCTTTAGTTTCTATTATAGTTAAATATCGTATACTAGTCCCATTTGCTTATCTGCTAAGCTAGGAACTGGCGCACACAAGGGGTGCATCCTATGGAATTTTTATTGATTGCTAAGCAGTAATTTTAAGTCTTCTCTCATCTTCATCTTGCTTTGTTCCTTGCATGTGTGAACTGTTGGTGGGTACAGCTGTGCTTACACACAGAGCTTATATACTGATTGGAAGCAAATATAATTTGCAGTGCAGTGTTTTGGCATCAAGAGGTGTGCTTTGGAGCGCAGATTTTTATTCTGTTGCTGTCACAGACTTGAAAGGACTCAGTTCAGAAGAATGGAAAAGGTTTAAAGTCATTGCAAAAAATACCATTTTCTTACATATCAGAGTCTGTGCTTTTGGTTCAGAACTGTTTGGCTGTGACTTCTGGAGTGAGCAAAGATCTTAGAGCTGTGTGCAAGGGAGGTATGTATTATACCAGCTGAGGGTCTGTCTTCAGATAACCATGAGTATCACCTACTGAATGTGATCTAAGATGCTGAAATTTCATCTACAAGCCCAAATAAAATGCATTTGCTTTACTTTCTGTGAACCATAAGCTGTCATATGTAGATCTCGTGTAACTGTACTGGTTTGATGAAATGTAAGCCCTCGTGTTGCTCCCTTCAGAGGCAATGTAACCAACCTGTCAAGGATAAGCAGCCTAAGAGGAGGCTTCATCTGCTGTTGCATGTTTTTACCCACAGGACTCTGATCTTTCCAGCAACTAAACCATTGCAGAATGGAGCCTCCTTAAGATGTTCCCGAAGCAGATTCCCACAGGGATCCTGCCTTGCATTCAATGCAGTCTGCAGCTGGTAATCCAGTACTTATCGTTTGGTCCATACAACGCAGGTGAAAGCTTACATATCTGAATCTCTAACTTCAGTACAGCGTTGTGTTGGCTCACAGCAAGTGAATTGCATGAAGGTGACAGCTTATTTGCTGCAGACAGAGTAAATGTGCTGTAGTAACAAAGGAATGCTCAAAATTCTCACGTAAATTAGGAATGCAGGCACAAATCTGGATCTCCTTAGCATCAGGAAATGCATGGTGAAAGAAAAGATAGATTTTAAAGGGAAAACAAAGTGACTAAAAAGTAACTACTCTGTTTCATCAGCTGGGAATTGAGTTGGACTGTGAGTGCTAGGGAGTCCCTGGTGCATCCCACATGCCACTGGCACTGGTGATGCTGGAGAGTGGGCAGATGAAAGTAATTCATGAGACTGTCCCTGGAGAGTAAACAAGGCAGCATGTACTTTGCCTCTGCAGGAAGCAGCTATCCTGCTGCTGACAGGAACCTTTGGCAGCTTACATGGTTTGTGTGTGTGCGTGTATGATACATGAAATAGAGCCCTATATGCATCTTTTGTGATTTCCAGATCATACATGACTGTGTATGGATTAATTTTTTGAAGTAAATTACCTACCAACTCAGACTGAAATCTAACGTAAACTGCAAAATTGCTAGTAACAAAGGTTCAGCAGATCAACTTTTCTGCTTGCTGACATCTTTGCAACTACTGCTTCATAGAATCATAAGAATCATAGAATGGTTTGCATTGGAAGCGACCTTAAAGATATAGCAGGAACACCTTCCACTAGACCAGGTTGCTCAAAGACCCATCCAGCCTGTCTTTGAACATTTTTCTTTAGCTGGATGTAGGTGGCTGTGTAATTGGAAGTTTCTGCTGATGAAATGAAAGGAGGCATCTAGTTTAGTGCCCTTTCTTTCACCCAGCAATGCTGGCATAGCTGACAGCGATGGAAAAAGATGGCTTGAAAGGTAGCAGACAGGCTTTAAATACTCCAGAGAAGCAGAGCTGGAGAAAAGAGCTAGACTGCAATCACTGCAGTACCTGTTAACTTCAAGAGCACCTTGACTCCTCCTGGGCTCCACTGGTTTCCCCCAAAGAAGAGTTTTGCCCAACAGTTACCTTCCATGCCTATCATTACAAAAGGAGGAAAGGGAAAATATCACTGTGAATGTCAAAACAGTTGCACTGCATAAGAATTCTCGATCAGCATTTTTATTTATTGTGAAGTGTTCAAGCTATTACAAAATAATCTGTAGTCACTAGAATAATTACAACTGGCCTTGCAAAGTGCTGCATCTACTGGCTCCGGTTTAATTTTTGTTGTAAGACATCTTCTCCCCTGCTGCAGGATATGGCTTCTCTAACGCTGACAAGAGCAGCAGTGCTTGTGAGACTTTGCTGGGGGCTGTGGCTGAGCTGCCGTTCTTGCAGTTGGAGGTATAAGCAGAGAAATAATTCATCCTGTAAAGCTCTGCTCTGCTCTTGCAGCAACCAAGCTTGCTCATCAGTAGAAAGAAATCCCTTCGAAATGCTTTGGTGAAAATTGCGTAGAGAAATGGGTTTGCACAGGAGTTGACGGGGTAAAATAGAACCAGCAAGATCTTGGAGTTTGTCACTGTGATGAGAGGTACCTTGAAGGCAGCAGATATGGCAAAAAAGGAGATGGGGGCCATGCAGGTAAAATCTGTGAAGATCAGTATTGCCATTCTCTTAGCGACCTTGGTATCTTTATTGGCAGCTACCAGCTCTGGATTCTGAACAGCTATGTAAATCTTAATGTAGCAAGCACAAATGACAATGAAGGCAACAACATTTAGCACTAAGATCAGCAGTATATAAGCTTGGGAAAGACCCGTTTCAATATCCATGGGTAAACAAATGCTGACCTTCATGTAACTGCTGATCCCTAAGAGGGGCAGCACTGCTATTAAAATAGAGAATATCCAGCCTCCGAGCATGATGGGCACAGCATGCCTCAGCCGTAGCTTTCTGTCCAGCTGCATGGCGTAGGTGATGGTGTGCCACCTCTCTACAGTGATTACAGTCAGCGTGTACACCGAGAGCTCGCTTGCAAACACGGTGAAAAAGCCGGCAGCGCTGCAGCCACTGCCCGTTTGCCAGTCTATGGCGTGGTTGTAGTACTGACCGCTGGTCTGGGCATCAACAGAGGCAATGAGCAGCAGATACAGCCCCATGCAAAAATCTGCAAAGGAGAGGTTGCACATGAGGAAGCGAGGAACGGTGAGCTTGTAATGGCTGGTGATGAGAACGAGGAGCACAGTGAAATTGCCAGCAATGGCAAGGATGTTTATGAACCAGATCAGGACTCGGAGAAAGCTGTATCCCAGGATGTCTTCACAGGGATTAAATGCATCTGGTTCTGGAGTGCATGTGAGTATTTTAGGCTGACAAAAGTCATACTCAAAGTCGAAGCCGCCTGTCATTTCGCCGTCATTGAAAATGGCCGAGTAACTGTAAGGAGAGGTTTCTTCATCTGTTGCGAATGGGTACATGCTTTTTTCTGCTGACCACAGTGATGTGTTGTAAGAGCCGTCTCTATAACTATCAAAAAAACAAACCCCCACAAATGGAAGTGAGCTGTTTGTTACATGCTGCTTGCACTCTCTTATAAAATACAACAGATAACTTGTTTTAAATCAGTTACTACTTGTGTTTCTACAGGGTGTTTACATATAATGAAGCCTTGTAAGGAGGCCTGTTTATGGGTAGCAGCCTTCAAGAGCAGCAAAGGTCACAGTCACATCCACAGGAATGCTTTCTTATACAACTTATTTATTTGTTAAGTACTTTACCTTGATTGCTTTGTAAGTGAGCCATTGTTCTCATGCTGCCAGTAGACTGCAGTTCAAACTACAGTAACACTTGCATTGATGGATTATAGGTTTTATGTGTATAGGTTTATCAGACAGTTCTAGAAGCCAAACTAAAGTAACCTAAGGATTTTAACAGCACATCATTACCCTCCCTTAGGAAATGCACTTACTAAACAAAGTCCTGAGAGTATGTATGACTCGGGAAGTGTTGAGGTATTTTATGTTCACAGTATTATAAAGTGAGGAGTAGAAATGCACAGTTAACCAGATGGCTAGGAATATATTAAGTTTAGACTGGACCTTTATGCCTAACTATAAATGTTTTAGGTATTTAAAATAGACCTCTCTAATATCCAGGTCACCAATAGTGGGGGGATAAGGCTATCAAAGAAGAAGCATTTTAAAAGCAAATACTATCTCTTCTGATTCCCTGCCAGCAGAGGTACCTCTTTCACAACTACCCAATTATCCTGACAGAGTGTTTGGTGGGCAGACAATCTGCAGTGTGAAACATGGAAAGTATCTCTACCGAGGACAAATCTTCAGAAAACTGGTAGCTTTGGGATAACTTAAATACATGCTTAAACTTCCACATCCACTGAAGCATGTACTTTAAACTGTTTTTCTGGAGCAGGGTCTTAACTGGCAAATGAAGCTGAGCTGCTTTTCAGCTATTCCTGTTGGGCAAATAACGTACAAATCTTGTTATCCTACCTCTTCTCTCCTTACATGAAAAACTGCCCAATGTCTTGCTTTTACTCGCCTGGCTTAAACTGGAAGAGCAGGGAATGTATTTGTTTCTATTTATGAATATAAAATTATTTTGATTTGTGAGAGGCCATGTAAACATGCTGCCATGTGCAAGCTGGTTGGTTTGTTTTGTGGTTTTCTAATGAGAGCTTGGGACTTTCAGCTGATTTCTGCTGTGGTTTTCCAAACATTGCAACTTGCAGCCAGTTCTGCTCATGAATCACGACCTTACTTCCATCTGTTTAATGTCTGCTCAGTGAATTGCTGGAGTTGGGACTCAGCAAAGCAAAATCTTCAGAAGCCGATAGACTGGGCAGACTAGTTACTGCACAGTGGGAATGCAACAGATGCTAATCTGAAGCAGAGGGATTTCTCTGGCATAGTCAGTGCTGATTTGTGTGATCACGTTCCTCAGTGGGGTGTCACTTCCCTCACCTTTGTAACATGGTCTAATGCTCTGTGTTTACCTTCTTGCTTCACCTTGCTTCTCCCCAAAGGCACCCCTGATAGAGGCAATATATTCTTGGTGCCATTGACTGTGTAGACTTTGCCTTTTTGTAGTCCTGAAGTGCTTCAGTTTTGTGGTTAGAAGTAGAATGGACAGGACGGATTGAGAGAGGCATGCAGAGGAGATGCAGGCATGCAGCAGATGAGAAGCAGTGACAGGAGAATCAAGGCAGCTGTTGCTTTACAACAGGCCAAATAAAACCAAATGGCAAGTGTGGGAGTTCTTGTTTGCAGGAGACCAGCAAACAGGATAATGTCCAAGGAAGTCAGCACCCCAGTGAATCGATCACACTTCAGCTGTATTTAGCTGTTGGAATTTTGTGACTGTAACCTTGTTTTTTCTAGACTTTACAATGCTCCAACCCCATTTCAGGGCTGCTGAGAAATCCCAAGGCCTCCCATTTAGCTGCAGAGGGATAAATAGTAGCAAATCCTTAAATTTCTCCATTACATACTGGTTTAGAGCCTGTGTCAACCAGCATGGCCAATGCAACAGTTTTGATGTTAGCCTTTCTCACTCTCCCTCTGAACACTGTGAAACAGAACTGTGATGATATGGAAAGATGCATTTAGAAGCAGTAAAACAACTGCATGGGGTTATCACACTTCTAACTCAGGGACTCTACTTCTGTCAAGGGAAAATACTGATATACAGAATTGTAATTATTCTTTTATAGGAAAAAAATATTAACAGTAGCAGCTCTTCTTTGAATCATGCAAACAACTGCAATTATCTCAGGGCATGAAAAGTCTCCTTGTAGGCTGTTAACTTCCTTAAATATTTAATCACTGTTTTGAAAGTCTTTCAAGAATTCAGAAGAGAAGCTAGAATAAGTAAAGCTCATGAAATTACTTTTTTTTTTCCCTTTCCTTTTGAACATCAAAATCACAAATCTTGGTTTAATGATAGTAAAATTACCACTGTGCAATTTATAAGGGTGACTGAACTGGCAGCAAAAGACCTGCTGTTCTAGGAAAAACACACAAACAAAAGGAGGGGGAAGTCCATATTTGCTACTTCCAGCATCTGCATGCAGAGAGGTACTTACAACATTTCATTAGTTGGTTTCCTCATGGTGCTTTCACACTCTTTGGAGAACTTGTCGAAAATGGAAAGCAAGGAATTTTGTCTGAAAGAAGAATGAAAAGAAAGTTGAGCTGCAGCCTGGATTTTGGCCAAATTCTCACCTTCTCTGCAAGTGATCTTCGCAGATACGTAAGGTAAGCTAGAGTTGGCTTCACAGCAGTGTGAATATTCATTTAGACTTCTGAAAGTGGGGAGAAGAAGGCTTCAAATACTGTGACAGTAAGCAGTACCTCATGGGGAGCTTAAGGATGGTCTTTCAGCTTGGTTATTGTTTATGATCCAGTTTTTTATAGCAAAAGAATTTGCACTGAAACTAAAAGCTATGGTTTGCCTTATGAAATACTGCATTGAAGTGGGCCAGATTCTCCACCACGAATGACAGCAGTTATGCCAGCTTTTAGAGAAATGCATATTAACAAATCTGGAAAGCTGGCCAGATTCTCTATTTTTAACAACTGTTTGAGATCTGGAGGGAGACTTTACATGGTGGAAGTAAAGCAATTTGAAAAGTACAAGTTGAAGGATGATGTATTTGGTAAAATTTCTGGTTTTTGAGGTGTTGGAAGCATGGCCCAGCTACTCTACCAGTGTGAATGGAAATGGCTTTGTCTGACCTCATGCTCCAATAGTAGAAAGAGCCAGCAAAACAACTAAGTTGTTTTTGTGTGCTCGCAAGAAAGTTTTATGTAAAATGAGAGGAAAAAGATACCAACCCCTGTGTGATGCTTATCAATAATAAGATGGCAACAGAAGCTGGGTTTTCTTTCTTGTATTATTTTCTTTGAAGTTACCTGCTGCCTTCTTTTTTTTCCCTGCATTCAGGCCAGTGGAAGAAAGGGACTGAATGCTGCCTTCTATTGACATGCCTCAGGGAATGAGCACAACACAACTGTACCCTAGAAATCTCAAGAATGTTTGGTGTGAGGATTTTATTTCCCTTATGTCTGTGGTGCTGTCTCAAGTGAACCTGCTTGCCCAGTCAGATGTAAGTAAGACTATGTCACCATATCTCACTAGGCAGAGAGTGAAGTCTATAGGTGTTAAGGAGTAGGACATGGGGCAGGAACAGTAAAAACTGGGTGAGATGATTATGTAGAGTACAGGATAGAGAAGGTGGTAGAAGGAGACAGAAACAGGCATGTGAACATGAGAATGCATAACCACACAAAGTCTCTTCCCTATGTAAGCTGGGAAGGTCTTGGGAGGCCTGTCTCTGTGGTCTTCTGCTGTCATCAGTAGGTGACAAGAAAAGCAGCCAGAGATCTGCTTCTCATTCTTTTGTAGTAGCTGGCCGTATAGAACATAACAGCCCATTGCTTATACAGGTTTTTCCAGTAGCTAAGGCTGTGCAGATACCTGATGCATCAGCACTGCTCCGAACCCTGCTGATGCCCCGTTAGGAGCGCAGTCCAGTTTCTTGATTTGCAGGTTGTTTTTTTTCCACCAGTTTACTAAGGAAATAGTTACTAAATGTAAGTATAAATATAAATATAGTGACTTACTAAAGCACCCCTATTTTCATAGGTTATGATCACATTGCAAAGTCAAACACTTTAAAATTAATACAACATCAGAAACCTGGTTATCTTCATCTGATTTTTTTCCCTCTTCACAGTTGCCTCTGCATTTAATATACTCAGAGACTTCATCTGGGACTGAATCAGAGTTTGGAAGCAATGGAAAAACCTTGACTGTAGAATCTTTGCTCTATTCTTGCAGAAACAGGAACCATTTAATAAAATGAGGTAGGCAGAGAAAGCATACCATCACCCCTAATTTTACCTGAAAAAATGGGCTTCTACTCCTGCCTTTGCAACATAGTCCTGATGCAATGACATGCAAGTCACACAGACCAGGCTTCTCACAAATGACTGCTCAGTATGTCTTTTCTGTAGCCTTCATTTGAGACAGATGAGAATTGAGACATCCTCATAGCTTAAACTAATTTGGAGCTGCTTTGGCTGCCTAAAGCCTACTGAGGGTTGATTTTTTTGAAACAAGAATGCTGGAAAATTAGCTCCAGTTGCCTCACTGACTGCCTGAATTGGCAGACGCAAAGCTCTCTGTGCCACAATTTCCAACTGTGGGAAGAACAATACTGTCTATTATCTGAAATGACTGGAACTACACCGAGTAACCTCTTTCTGTAAGCATATGTCAGGTCCTAATTTCAAGGGGTAGCTGAAAGCTGCCTCTTCTACTAGGTCATCATATTGCCTGTATTAGATAAGCTACATAGCTGAAGGCTACAGTGGGATTTTTTTTTTTTAGGGCAACATGCTGTGTTGATGGAGATCTATCTATCTTGCATGCCCCAGTGGGCTTTTTAATTAGAATAGAAGCTTTAAGCAAACTTAAAATAATATTCCTGCTGGCAGATCCTGGCCACAGGATGGGATCCATTTCAATTCTAAAATAAATGGGGATCATTTTCTTGGCTTTAGCAGAGATCTGTTGTTTCATATGAGGCCTTGATATGTATCACGTACAAGCTTCCTTGGCACTGGAATAAGGATAATCAAACCTTGTGAGCTGAATAAAGAAAAATTGCCATTTTTGAGCTATTGAAGTACTGCAATACAATAATGAGCTACTTGAACTTACTTTTCTGTCCTTAGATTTTGAAAAGCACAGCAGTGGCTGGGATACGTTAGAACAGCTTCCACAAGGCTGCTGAATTTATCCAGTGGTGGCAGTCTCTTTAATGAGTATGATGACGTTGCATTTAGGACTTGAATGGCCTCAAGCCCGTAGCTAGGCAGGGACTCTAGGGCTGTTGAAGAAATATCCCTGTGAAATAGAAAGTATTCTCTTTTTGTATATACAAAAGAAACCACCAAAGCATGACAGTAGGTAGCAGCAACTTGGTTTTTCACAAAGGTCTAAGTCTGCAAATCTACTTCAGCACCTGGTACCCTGCTCAGAAAAGTGGCCTGTGAAACTACAAGAACCCCAGTGAGGCAAGGTGTTCATTTTTTCCTGAGGAAATCAAAACCCACTGCTCCAAGGGCTGTACCACCACGCAGAATGAGGGATGGCAGTTTAGGCCGGAGAGAGGAAGAGGGAAGAGGTGAATGTGACTTTCCAGCCAGCTAACAAATAAATCACCCTCTTGGCTCTCTGCTTGGCTCCGAAGGGTTGTTCTAGATGTTTTAATTAAAGTTATTAATTAAAACACATAAACGATTCTGTCATTCTTGCCAAGACCAACTTAAGCAGCTTGGCTTAGGGTAACTTCAGAGGGCTGTTTGTGTGAGGAAAGGCTATCAACACGAGTAAGGATTTTCAGTGTCAGGGGAAAAAAGGCTACAACCGTGAAAGTGATGGTAGTAGTGCCATGTACTTTAAAGCACCAATAAAAAGAACAAAATGGCATGTGCGACACCGAGAGCTACTTACATAACCACCCATTGTGTTTTATCACATGGTGTTACAGTCAGTTCACCCCTCCAGTAATTGATTGATAAATCATGAGGAGGATAATGTGTTTAATTCAGCACAGGCTTATAATATACATTCAACATTTATTTTTATAACCAAATTCTGAAATAATACATTTTAAAAACGTACTTATCCTACCAAAAGACAAGTTGGCTTGCAGTGTCAGAATATAAGGCATAGGAATAAGATCAGGAGAACCCGACACAAATAAAGCAAAGGCTGAAATATCTAAGAGATGGAGGTCAATGCCAGTGCTAGAACTGGCTGATCTGCATTTCTTATGGTGCAGGCAGCCTTTCGCCCTCTAATTTCATGCATCTCATTGACATGCTTCCATTTTACAACTAGAGGGTAAGAGATCAAGTCTCCTTCTAGATTCAAAGCCCATATTTGCTGAGATGACAAAGCCCACGTGGCACAGCACCCTTCCCATGGGACACCTATAAACATAGACAGTGGAGCAATGGATACTTACAGGACATCTGGCCCTGTGGCCCCTCTCAGGGCATTGTTGTGTATCCGCCTGAGATTCTTATTGTCCCTCAGGATTCTGTGGAATCAAACATGAACTCTCTTTACATCTGTATTTTGATGAGACTTTGAGCAACCTGGTCTAGTGGAAGGTGTTCCTGCCTGTGACAGGGGGTTGGAACTGGATGATCTCCAAGGTCCCTTCCAACCCAAACCATTCTATGATTTGTCCTCTCTCTCTCAGTCTTTTCTCTCTCCACAGAAGTTGTTGCAATATCTAGCTTGGGAGTGCTTATACTTCTCATGTGGCCTTTCCCTCTGCTGATGCCATCAGACCTTTATCGCTTAATTCTGATAATTTCTGATTTCTTCTGACTTAGACCAAGAACAACCAGTCTGGTTCCTTTGTGGCAGTAGCAGTGTCCAAAAATGCAGCAGAAGTTTTGCCCAAATGAAGAGGCTAGTCCTAGAGCATGTGAGGGTGATTTAGAAATGATTGATGTTTCCAGATATGAAAAGTAGGTTCTTCAGTTTGGGCTGCAGTTTCAAGCTTTCTACCATTGCTGCTAAGTTTAGAAATTTATGAAATTTTATTAAAAATAATGAGTTTTTCTCACAAAACCTGCAGTGTTCTCTAAGGAATAGTGTTTCAGGAAAAGCACTAAGTACTGCAGGATTAACAACTGAGTGACACTGAAACATCAGTTTTCTAATGGATATCAGGAAATGCAGTCACTTAGACTGAAGGAAGCATCTTTACTATATTAGAACTATTATTTACTGTTAAAAAAGAAATAGTGAGGAGGGGAAACGTACTCACAATTGATTCAGCTTTGTCCCATTGAAGGCGTGGCTGTGGATATCTTCAAATCCGTTTTTATACAATTTGCTGGGGATTAAAAAAACATATAAGGGGAAAAGATTGGGAAAAGATGAGGTTATGTTATGTATTACAGGTTTAAAATCTCAATGCTGCATTCATTTTAATGATTAGAGGGCCTGCTTAGAAAGAACAAGGGTAACTATTGCATGACTTAAGTTAACTCTAAAATTAAGAAGGCGGAGCTTAAATACCCTAAGCACCTTTCTGTTTAGCTGTATAAGAGAACTGCTCATGAACAGATCCTCCCTCTCTGAAGGGCTCACCTCTGCCTATCTTGGGCTGAGATCCTGAAACAAGACATTAGTACAGGGAAGTGCCTGGCACACAGACACCAGCCTGGAGACAGAAGACCTGGATGTTGTGGTGTCAACAAGTGTTAATGAAAGACTGCAAGTGCTAGAGAAGTGTCAGCTCTGAAGCCTGGAGGATACTGCTGCGTTGTAGATCCCACGTAGAGAAATCTTCCAGCAGCCCAAGAGACAGCTTTGCAGAGAGGCAGGAGTGAGTTGTGCATCATCTAGTGGCCAGTGAGCTGTCAGCTCCTCCAGAGTACTGTTGCCAGGCTTGAGTTTTGCTGTGGAAAACCTGCTGTCTCCTGTGCTGCCCTAGGTTCTCTTGATTCCCCACCCTAAAGGCTGGGCTCTGCTGCACCTAAGTCCGTCTCTTTTCCTTTATTAGGGTATCTAGCCTATGGGTCTGATTTCACTGAGGTAAATCCATTTGTGATATGGACCTGCTCAAGTGTGTTCAGAGGAGGCCATGAAGATGCTGAGTGCTGGAGCATCTCTGCTGTGGAGACAGGCTGAGCAAGCTAGGCTTGTTCAGCCTGGAGAGGAGAAACACATGAAACACTAATTGTAGGAAAAACTGAATTAGCTATTTGTAGAAAAAGCTATTACTCTATATCTTCATAGATTACTTGTGTTTCACCAGACTATGCTGTAACAAGAGTTGCTTCAGCTAATTACAGTTAAGCACATGGGGTGGAGTTAAGATGTAGCTGTACAATTAGGAACCTGCTAGCAAGCTAATCCCGTTCTTCTAATGGTGAGCTCCCTATCACAAAAGGATGGGAAAAATTGATCATTGGCTGTTTCCTGACTTAGACTCCCTCCCACTTAATACACTTTAGGGTTACAGTAAAAATGTTAAGCACCTTTCTCCATCTCTTTTATGTTCATTTTCTTGCACCTTTAACAGAATCATAATTCTGCTGAATTTCTTTCGTAGAACTTGTTGGTAGGAAAAGAGATTCATAAGAGGAAATGATGCCCTAATCTAAGCAATTGCTCCTCTTTAACATTGCATAGTAGTAGTCTTCAGTCACATTTATGCTCAGTCTCTTTAATGGTTTCACAAGGTATTGGCCAGTACATAAATTCTATGTCAAAATCGCTCTCGTGCCTGCACAACAGCCTGATGAAGGGCCTAATTTTGTCAACTGCAGTTCTTTTTTCCCTTACATGTTTTTCTGCTTCTATTGCCTCAGGAGACCTGAATTTTGGGCACGTCCTGCAGAGAGGCTTAGTCTGTGATATTTTTCCCTATTTCAGCATTTATTTGTGGAAGTTTTTGTGAGAATAAGGGTGCTGTGAAATCCACATGGTTCTTGCTGTGCTGGCTGATGACACTTTGGCTTTCTGCTGCTTTTTGTATTCCTCAGGTAGGGCATCTCACCTAGCATCAAATCTTCTCACAGGTGGCTGTACGAATGAATCCAGTTTGCTAAAAGGAAAGTCTTGGATGTGGAGACTTATGGGAATTGCTGTCAAAAGAAATCAGGGTAACAACAAACACTGGTACTTTGCACCAATTTCTTCTTTCCTTTCCTGTCCTTTGGAGGGACCCTGTGCAGCTAAAGCTTAGCACTGTTAGGTCAGCACTTTCAGCCTGGTTGGTCCCTGAAAGCACTGTTTCAAGAAACCATATCCCTGTAGGGAGAAGAGAGATTTTGACATCCAGCTTGCGATGTTCATGTCCTGTTGATGGTAGATTTAAAAACCACAGTGCGTGGAAGATGAGGATTTGGATTCCTCCTCCTATTTCCTTTCCTAAGTAAAGTTAGCTTCTGGATGAAACCCACCTCTTCAGCTTGAAGAACACCCCTCCGTTTCCCAAGAATTTCAAGTTTAACTCACAATTCAGACACATATTGCATGGATCTTAATTTCCAGATTTTTATGTCGCCAAACTTCAAGCTTTATAAAGCTTTCCTCAAGCAGAAGTGTTACTGCTGCGGAAGGAACTGGAGGTAGGATTATTTTACTCACAGTGTCAGTGATTCATTGTTCATCCCCCGGAAAGCATTCTGCGGGATGGTTGTCATACGCAAGTTATCACAGAGCTCCCTTTGGGAAGAAAAATGTATCAAAAAACAAAGGTATTTCTGTCAGTGATCCAGGAAGAAGAAGGTGGCAAAGACAGCTGTGTTAGGTTGGGTCTCTACTTACAAAATAAAGTAAGCTTCTAATGAGAAGATCTGCGTCAGGTCTGGAAATTGTCTTATTCCAGTGTTACAGATGCTCCTAGAAAAAGGCATAATTCCTATTTACAGGAGGAAAGATTACCACAGTGGATGCAACAAAAAGCCAACTCAGTAGTTATGTGTTTAACATGCATTAAACAGTGCATTAAAAGGTGAGTTCAAATATAATAACTTTTAAGTATGCTCCAAGTGTGTTTGTAAGGCCTGTAAATATTAAGTTTTGTAGCATCCTCAAGCAGTGTTCTGGAGAAGCAGTGTCTGTTCTCTCTACATTAAGCACAAGGAGTAGATTTTAGTTACCCCTTTTGCATAGTACCTTGTCAGTCTGAAAGCTTTATTCTAGAAATAAGCACTTAGCAGAACTAATGTTCAGGCTTTACTACTTTTCTGTCTGTTACTGTCCTGGGTTGTTATTTTGTTGCCTGTTGACAGACCTCACTATTGGTTAACTGCACAGTAAATAATGTATGTATTCCTGGTGTACTGTAATGCATGAAAACCTTTTTTTTTGCCTTATACCCCTTTATTTGTCTATTCCTATAGAGGGAGGAAAACCAGAAAAGAAACAGAATTCTTTCTTTCTTCCTTACAAGTATTTTAGCCTTGGAAGGTTTCTGAATGCGCCATCCTCGATGTGCAACAGATTTTTCATGTTCAGGATTAATCTGTAATGAAGGGAAAATATGTCAGGATGATAATTGTTATACATGTGGGAGGGTCCTGAATTTTTTCCTTTGTCAGAAAACAGCCAACTGCAGAATATGGCAGAAGGTTCTCTTGCTGTGAACCAACCTTCTACAGATACACTATGAGTGCATTTTGAAGCACTATTGGTAATAAAAATGGCCTGCAGTTGTTAGGTAGCTGGCAAAAGATAACAGCTGCATTATCCCTTGTTTCAATTATATGACTGATGCCCTGCCTAGCCAGGAAAGGCAGTTCCTGAGGGGGTTTAACCTCTTAGAGTACCATGGACTCCCTTAGAGCAGTGGCTAATAACACTAGATGCCTACTTAGATCTGCAGAAACCGAGAGATGAAGGTAAGTGTGTGAGAAGTAGTGTTTCCTACTGGTCACTCAAAAAATGGGCAGCACCTCTTGATCAAGTAACACTTTTTGCATCTGTACTGTCTGCTAAAACTATGTTTGCATAAAAGCACAGTATCTGTAGCCCAGCTCCCTCCCTATGGATAATTTACAAAATTCAAAGGTTTTAGCATGTGAAATTGCAATAAGAGTTGAAATTCAGGAATGCCATTGAACCCACTTACCTTGATCATCCATTAGAAGTGGCCTAGAATGCAGCTTGGAACATCAGGCCCTTGCAACGTGAGGCAGCAGATGTGGAGCAGAGTCAAAAAGGTTTACTTTCTAGCCTGTAGCTCTTTAATGGTCTTGCTTACCTTTTTGGTTTTGGAGGAAAGGTAAATGACAAGCTATCCACAAAATGTAGGTGAATGCATGGGGTCAAATCTTTTATTCCTTCCCTAAACCCACCACTGATTCTAGTGGAAGTTGGACCCAGTCAGAGCTGGATAAATCTGTATCTATTGCTTATGTGAGTAACTGACTTTAATGGATTTCACATGTAAGGAAAAAAAAAAAGAGATGGAGTTTTTCTCAGTCAGTGACACCATTTTTAAGGCACTCACTGATCATGCTATATGAAAAAGGCAGTAATGAGTTACCGAATCAGATTTACAGTTTCCAATTTCACTAAATATTTCAGAACATTCTCCTAGTCATTGCCTTTAACTCACTCAGGTGCCTGTGCTATGTGGGTCAAGTTTAAAATCAGTACACGTTCTGTTTGAGTAGTGTTTTAGCGCTCAAAAGAAGAGCTATGCATACTAAGCAGCTATACTTAAATACTGTAGGGCTTTGAGAACTGCATCTTCATAAAGGAAGATTTTTCTCATCGTCATCTGGAATTATTTCCCTGGTTAGAAATCTTAATAGTGCCAGCAGAATTAGACAGAGCTCTGCTCCTGCTGTTGAGCTCACTGTAAGCAGTAGTACTCTCTATGCATGGATGTCTTTGCATGATTTAGCTCTCCAAGGCTAGACCTTACGCAGTGCTCGCTATTTCATATGGTACTTTGGAGAGAAATGTTTCTCATCATAGATCTAATCCAAAGCCAAGCGAAGTAATGGAGAAAGATTTGGTCCAAGAATAGTTCTCTGCAGACTGCTTATTCCTTGATGATCCTAAATCATGACATGGATGCCTTTTTTTTTTTAACTGGCGCTTACATTTCAGACAAAGTGGGAAGGCTGTCAAATGCACTCGCTTCTATTCTCTCCAGGGAGTCACTCTGAGAGATTTCACTGTAATGAAAAAGTCAGACACAAAGCAATGTATTAGCAGAAAAGATGCCAGAAGTCAGCTTTCCACTTTGTAGTTCCTCCTTTTATGCAGAGGTGTTCAACCTCCCCACCAATTCTGTTTGGCAGCACTGTCCATGCATCACCCCAGACTACTTGAGAGCCTGTGCCAGCTGGGATTGAGAGAGACCAGCCTGTTGCAACCTTGGTCAAATGGAATGCCAACACTTTGGAGTAAGTTGCTCTGTAACAGCAAATTCCCATCTTCTCAGTAAACTGTGTTATTTTTGGTATTACACTAGTTACTCATAAATGAAGGATAGATGTAGGGCAGGTGGCCTGCTGGGCACCTGATCCTTAGAGACTCAGGGGCTGGTGAGGTCAGTGCCTGCTGGCAAAACTTGAAGAGACTTGCAGGTCTGGGGTCTGAAACATGCTCCTTCCATGGGATCCCTCTTGTCTGCCACTGGGTTACCATTTACATATGTTGGAATGACTGATGGTAGTAAGAATAATTTATCATTTGATTTGCAGAGGGTGATCAGTTGCCAAATAGATGATTTAGAGATTAAACTAAAAATGATTTTAAAATGTGCATTCTTCAAAGTAACACTAAATCTCAATATAATTATGAAGTGTTCTATAGATTTGCTTCAGACAAATACATCGATTTCTATGCTGTTAATTTGGAGAGATCCATTAAAAGGACACAAAGTAATCAATTAAATTCTCTTTATCAAAGGGAAAATGTCAGTGAACAAAATATTCTCTGAAGAACAGGATATGCATACAGCTTAGGCAAGTTTAGCCTCAAGTCATTCAGGTAGGAAAAACTTCATAGGTTTAAGTTGATCTCCTATCTGAAAATGGTTAAATCCCCATTAATCATTCAGATGCAAGTGAATGCAAGAATACAGTGTGCTTGGGTTTTGCAATCATACTTTATTGCAGTGGAATACACGCAGCAGAGTTCAGCTTGTTTTCTACTTCCTAGAGCTACAGTAACACATTTTTAATTTGACCAGAATTGTTTAACCAGTGAGTTCCAGCTGAGTCTATTCAGGCATTTGCATTTCCCTCATCCTTCAAGTCTTTACCTTCAAGAAGGCATCCTGAAAAAGTTTTCTACTTTCTTTTTTTTTTTTTACTTGAAAGTAAATTATGTAACATCTAGCACATATTTTAATATATGGTGGACTATGTGCTTTTCATAGGTGAAGAGAAGTTATGAAAAGTGCTCCTTGAAAAGAAAGTGGCATCATTGGTGCTCCTCCTTAGGTTCTGCACTGTCCTCTTGTGGTGGTGGTCACTAGCTTTGTCCTTTAGACACCACTCAGATAAAGTAAAAAAATAATACATAATGGAGACTCCAGCATGCCATCTTTCAGCTGGAATAACAACAAATAATGTTCTATTTCAGTAGTGGCAAGAGTGCTCAGGTGAGCTTTACGGTCTGAGTTCTTGATATAAAATAGGTACAAAGCCAAGGGAGGGAAGCATTGTAGACCCAGCGTGCAAAATTACAGCATATGTAAACCAAAAGATCCGAGAAACAGGTTCAGTCCTGCTGATCTCCCTCCCAAGCTTATCTCTTGGTGCAAAACACCAAAGAAATACCTCATTTGGGTATTATGTAAATGTATAATTACAGAATGCCATAGCTATCATTGCAGTGGTAATGATGGATGATAAAAATCTATCTCCTCTGCCAATCAAAAGCACCTATCATCAGCTGTTAAGCTGTACCCAGTTCTCTCTGACATGACTAATGTTTCACTATTAATTATGTTTCACTGTTAAACATCTGATAAAAATCACACCTTTTCAAAGAGTCTTTTACATACTGCTTGTAAGAAAATAAATGCTGTATTTATCCTTTCCCGGTGGTTTTTTGTTTTTTTTCTTTCACCTATGTATGTTTTAGCAACACATTTTCATATTACTGGGAAAAGATGTTGTCTGGGGTGGAGATTTATGGTAGAACTTCTAGTGAAAAATTAAGGAAAAGCATGGGGAAAATGTTGTCAACTTACATGATGAAGGCATCTCTAAGTCCTTCAAATGCGTGTGATGGGATTACTTTTATGGGGAGATGAGTAAATGATCTGAAAAAGAAGAGAGGGAGGAAGGGATTGTAAGGCATGGGGTTTCCTTGTTTAGCCATTTTACCATTATGATAGGGAGAAAACCAATAAAGCATAATTCTTTAAGGTCCCTTCCAACCCAAACCATTCTATGATAATGCCACTTCAGTTTGCCTGCAGTTCTCTGCACCTCTGGGGCCTGATCCATTTACCATTGATCTCAGCTAAATGGAATTTAAAGGATATTGAGGCAGTTCCTCAACAGCATAAATTTGAGACTAATCACCATCAAATCAATAATAATCATAATGTAGTAAGTAAATTAATAGCCTGGTGGAAGTGAGCAGCTACATTCACAAAGGAAGCTATAGGCTTGTTTAAAGTTTGTTCCTCAGAAGAAGTTGGCTGCCTTGTAAAGTTTTCTGTATAAAACAGTATCTTTGCATTTGCTGGACCATGCTTTCGTCCCAGCAGCATCCCTGTAATGCTGCACCATGGCACCCTACATTCACTGTCAGTGGTCTGGCTGTGTACAAGCGTAGAAGAAATCCAAATCAGGCCTGATATGTTGGGTTTTTATCATTCTGTTTTCAAATGAGTTGCATCAGTCTGGTTAGCTGATTAAAAGCAAGCATGTATTGTCCTTAATTTTTTACTTAGACTAAGAAGTTAATAATGATGTGGGAGACAGATCTGCATTTTACCATTCTACTCCACATCTGAATCACAGTACTTTTACCAGCTAATATATCTACCCATGGCCGTACTGTCCCTGATAATGGGCAGAGGAAAATATTTAACATATTTCAAGACATTATCTCTGTGCAGACAGATAATAGCTCCATTTTGCTTTATAATTAGTCAGAGATATTTGATTTCCATCCTTAAAACTGCCCCTCAAGGTTTAGACTGAAATGTTTCCATGCTATTCATATAACATGCTTTTTCTTTCTCCCCTTTGGTGGCATGACCTTTTATACGAAGGCAATTAAAAATGTTTATCAACTTTTTAATATATATGTATTTTATATACATGTGTCATGCCTACACAATATAGTGGCAGGCTGCAAAACCCATGTATGTCTTGGAGTTACAAATCTAGATGTGCTAAGGAACCTGGCAGCCAATTCCTAGCTATGTTCCAAACAGTCTGTATGATTTAGGGCAGATCATTTAGTTTCCTTGCACTTTGATTTAATTCAGCAAACTGGGAATAACAACCCTAATAGGAATGCTATAAGGATATGTGTGTTTTTCATGCCACTGTGTCTAGATGAACACTGGCATGTTTTGTTGTGTGTGAGGTTTGGTTAAATCAGAAATGAAACTAAATGCCTGGAAAAATGTATTTGTCCCTGAGAGGACAGACAGGTAGAGATAACCTGAAATAGCACTCAGTGTTCTGAGCCAAAAGGAAAAGAACTTCAAGAAGAAGTAAAAAGTAGAAGCTGAGCAATAACCTCACAAATAATGCTCTATAACCCTGGCAACAGGAACTTCCCACATCTGCACCATCAGCCGGGACTCCTTGGAAAATAAAACATGCCTGTTGTGAAATTGTCTGCCAAAAAAGTATTATCATTTACACAAGAAATAGAAATGTAACTGAAAGTGGAAAAATAAAACCAGGTCTTGCTTTCTAATTACATCAAAATATTGATCCCAGAGCCTCCTACCTCCCTGTGATGTGCCTGTGAGCAGTGTGTGGCTTGGAGTGGCCCACTCCCTGCTAGCAGAAAGCCTTTGACAATGGTGCTCTGAGCTTAGGCATCTTAGCTATGTGATTAAATTTAACTGGGATGACCCAGAACATTTAACATGTACAGTACCTATGCTGCATCATGGCACTCAATCCATTCTGTATTTCAGCTTCATTGGGTTTTGGGTTTTCATTCTTGTGAGTTCACCTTGATAGCTGGAACTGTGAACTCATCTGCATTGACATTACATTGTCCCATTAAGCATCTCACAAAACAGCAAGAACAAAGGAAAAAGGCAATTCATAATCAGCCTTCTCTTAATCCTCAAAATACTGGTGTAGCACACACAGATGCTTCCACATTGATAAAGACATCTTAAATTCACCAAAAATGCGAATGTTTCCGTCCATATACTTGTCTGCTTTACCTTCATAGTTTTTACCTTGAGGTGAAAACTTACCTTGAGGCAGGTTTTGAAACCTGCCTGTATTAAAGGGAAATGTTTTAATTTGGATGTCTCTATACTTACATATTTTGAAGAAGATCCTCTAGTTTGTTAAGCACAATCCAGTCTGTGTATATGTATAAGCATTTAGGTTGATAGAGTTTAGAAGTGCCTGTTGCAGGCTTAAATTCTTTCCAGAGTGCCAAGTGAAGTGAGGCCTTATCTCATGTGATGTCTTTGCTATTGAACATAACTTTGATAGTTCACAATGAAAATCAAGCAGGTGCTATCAGGAATTACAGGAGTCATAGCCTGGTTTGGGTTGGAAGGGACCTTAAAGCTCATCCAGTTCCAACCCCTGCCATGGGCAGGGACTCCTTCCACGAGACCAGGTTTCTCCAAGCACTGTCCAGCCTGGCCTTGAACACTGCCAGGGATGGAGCAGCCACAGGTTCTCTGGGCAACCTGTGCCAGTGCCTCAGCACCCTCACAGGGAAGAATTTCGCCTAATATCTAATCTAAATCTCCCCTCTTTCAATTTAAAGCCTTATCCATCAATGCTGTCATCCTGTTGTAGAAGGCTCTTATATTTTAGTTACTTTATTTTATAGGATTACTCATCTTTCTAATGCCCAAAAAGTGAATCCATAAGGTAGGCTCCTGCTGGGAGTGGCAAACTTTTATTCTGTGGTGCCCTTGGACTTAACTCAGAAGGATTGGGAATGTTGATAGAAATTAACACTGAAACCCCGTCATCTACCTAGGATTTTTATCAGCTTCTGGGGACAATGGAAAATGTTGTCACTTTACATTGATTTTTAAAGCCCTGTATATGGGGCATTATCTACCTGAAATGTGAAATATGATGCTGGATATATTACACAAGCAGCTAGAGAGTACTTTCCCCTAGATGATGATGGGTGATTCATTATCTCTTATGAAAGACAATTTGGTCATGAAATGGAATTCCTCTGTCAATTCCAAAGAACCAGATGTGCTCCCAATGAAGATATGGTAAAGCTGTCTACTTCTTCAGGCTCTTGCCAGAAAGCTTTGGATTTGGTACGTGGTAATTTGGTGCCCAATGATGTACCATTCACCCTACCGCAGAAGCCCTGCATACAGGGGCAGACGCTCAGGCACAGCAAAGTGAACCTCCCTGTGAAGCGAAGTTTTGTGAGGGGCAGAAGGGTATTAGGTATCCAATGCCCATTACTGTACAGCTGGAGTTGGATGCCTATCCATTTAGACTTTGCCAAGAAAAAACAACCCAAAAGTATATACAAGACTTCAAAAGAAGGAAAAGCGTGTTTTGTTTCAAAGTATAACGGTGTGTGAAAGATTATTTTTCTGCTGAGGCTAGAAGATGAACAGCTGCTCTAGCCAAAATGCCATAAAAGGTGTGTGGATAATGGAGTTTCTATAGGGTTTTTGTAATGTGTGTAATGTCCAAATTAAAAACAGGAGCCTGTGAAAAAATATGGTCCATTCAGGACTGTATAAAACTCATCATTCTGCAACCTGTCAGAACTCTAATGATTTTGAAAACTCTTCCAGCAATAATGTGACATGGCAAGAATAACTCGGGTGAAGAAAAATGGCTGAAATTTCCCTACAGGGTATATACTTGGGATATAAAAAATTATCAGAGGTACATTTGAAAGCATGGCTCATTACAGCATCAGGGCTTGAATTACTCAGGTGTAGCTGGAGTTACATATCGGTGTTTATTTTCTTGACTGACCACAGTAGTAAGGACTTTAGCAAGCACCATTCTGCAGTTCTCCTGGTGCCCACAGGTACAGATATGGCTACGCAGGAACAAAAGTAACTTTCTCTTGCTTTGCTTCTCATACACAGAGCTGAGCAGCAGGAGAAGAGAGCTAAAAATACTGGTAAAGTGTGGAAGGAGAGGGAATCAGTACTAACAAAGCTGGAAAAGCCATAGAAGTAAGAGAGAGGGAAGACGAAGGAGCTGGACATGTCTGCAAAGTCAGACTGAGAGAGGGATTTTTTTGACACCTAAGTGTAAATATTTTCTCTGTAGGAGTATTGAGCAGAATCTTTTCTGATTGTAAAGTTGGTTTCTACAGCCAGCCTAATGTCTAGACTTTGTGCACAATCATAAAGATTAAATATTATATTAAAGCTTGAAGGGAAAAAGTCTTCTCTTACTTTTACCCATAATTTAACCTCATTGATCTGAGTGAAATGTAACTAGCAGCAGCCGTAAGCCCATTATCTGTCTTAACCTGACCACTAATGTCACTTATTCTTGTGGTGATAGAAAAGGAAAAATAAAAGAGTAAACCAAAAAAGGAAAGAAAAAAGTCAGTTTAGAGCTTTTGACAGCCTCTCTGGGCTGTGATGTGCATTGTCCTAACAAACATGCTAAATCACTGCAGAAACTAAGCCTCCATTTGTTTCTGCTGCTGCAGGGATCCTTGATGTGACTGATGCACTGTGTGCTCTGCCTGTGGTACAAACACCAGGGAAGAAATGTGCTTGTTGCAATAACTGTGGAGAGTCTGTCCAGCATGCATGGACTCTGCTTTCTCTGTCACTAAGGTAACGCAGGAAAATGTGGAATGCCCCATCCCTGGCAGTGTTCAAGGCCAGGCTGGACAGGGCTTGGAGCAATCTAGTCTAGTGGAAGGTGTTTCTGCCCGTAGCAGGGGGTTGAAACTAGATGAATTTTAAGGTACCTTCCAACCTAAACCATTCTGTGAGTCTGTGAAATGAGGAAGAAACCAATTCAGGATAGAAAGTTTTCTAAGAACTGACTTTGGAGGAATGATTCACGTTGGCTCTAGAGTAATACGAATTAGTGTTTCTTTCTCTTATCAATCCTCAAGCCAAGGAGAAAGGGAAAAGGAGATCAGGGTTAGTATCATCTCTAGGGAATTTCAAAAGCATGTTAAATTTACAAACAAATCAGATGAAAATTGGAAAACACAGGCTTTGTTACCAAAAGGGGCATAAGTCATGCTCCTGTCATTCTCAAGTCATGCACAGGTAACTGAGGGATCCTAGAAACAATAACTAGGGTATCTGTAGGTCACCAAATCATGTATTTTGATGCCATGATTGTTCAGAACAGAGCTGTAATTGAGCCCATGAACAGCCCAACAACACTTGAATACCTACCTATATCAAGTATTTGGTCTGGTCTACTAGATCCTGACCTTGGAGTGTGATGTGGGAGTGGGATAAGGGAATGCCTGTGATTCCCTACTGTTATAATTTAACCCTAATTCCCAGAGGTGCATTAGGCAGAAAGATATGATGGATCACCCAATAGAAATCCAGACAGCCTGTCAAAACTTAGAGCAGCTTTTTTACTACTAGAGAGGGGAAAATGATTAGCCACTCACTTGTCAATGAGTTGGAACTTGAAAAGAGGCAACAAGATAGGATTCTGGTGCTTCAATATCGAGGGCATTAAATGGCACAAGCTTTTGCAGAAGAACTTGCAGGAAGTCGGATGGATTTGTGAAAGAAAAAGCAAAGAACCCCCAGAAATGGCAGAAGCTTTAAGACCAGATATCTATCTTTCAGTCGGGTTTGTTTAAAGTTAACAATGGCACTACAAGGTGCTGGTTTTGGAACAGGAAAGCTTGTGCCTCCTGCCTCCACGGGACAAGACTGAAAGTTCTGCCAACTTCCCTCTGCCACCGGGACTGGTGCCACGCGGTTCTGAGAGCATCCCATTTTGCCCACCGAGAGAACGTCCCGAAAGACGCGCATCTTCTTGCCGGGGAGAACACTCCGCGCCTGGGCTTTCACCTCCCCGGCAGCATTCCGAGCCCAAGAAAACCCCAGCCCCAAGCGCCCCATCACTTTTCCTCGCCTCCCCGGGGTCAGTGATGCCCAAACCCCTCCCGCTGCCCGTCCCAGTCCCCTTTCCCCGCGGTACTTACGCGCGGGCCGGCGCGGGGGGCGCCCCCTGCCTCGGCGGTGGGCAGCGCAGGGCGCGCTGGGTGCAGGCGCAGCGGGGCGGGCAGCGGCCGCCAGCCCCGGCGGGCAGCAGCGGCTGCAGCAGCAGGAGCGGCAGCAGCGCGGGGACCATGGCCGGGGCGCATCCACCCTCGGCTCTGCCAGCCCGCAGCCCGCTGGACACGGCCGGAGCCCCCGGCTCCTCCTGCCCCCGCCCCGGGGCGGGCTCGCCGCCCTCCGCCGCATCCCGGTACCCACCCTCCCTTCGGGCTTCAGCGTGCTGCTCGTGGTGAGGTTGGGTGCAAAGCCTACAGGTGGCAAGCAGAAGCCCTCTCTCTTGATGACTCATCATGAGTCCCCTCATCACCTCCATTGCTGGAGTGCCCTGGTAGGAGCATTAGGAACACATACGTGAAGACAGGTTGAGAGAGGGGATTCTCACCCTCTATTCTGCCCTGGTGACTCTGGGAGCAGTAACACAGGAGGGACATGGTGCAGTTGGAAGTCCAGAGGAGGCCAGGAGATGCTGTGAGGGCTGGAGCACCTCTGCTGTTGACACAGGCCGAGAGAGCTGGGCTCGTTCAGCCTGGAGAAGGCTTGGAGAGACCTTAGAACAGTCTTCCAATACCTAAAGGGGCCAAACAGAAAGCTGGAGAGGGACTTTTACAAGGGCCTGTAATGACAGGACAGAGGGGAATGGCTTTAACCTGAGGGGGCAGATTTAGATTAGGCATTCTATAATTCTGTGATTCTATGATTTGTTTTATGATTCCAAGAGGAGTTCTATGGCCAGGATTATTGGTGAAAAGAACATGCTCAGCTCAGCATCAGATTGTGCTGTGTGAAAGCTGAGCTGGTGGAGGTGTGGGCCATGGAATCTCCCATTTGTCTGGTGTTACTGAGAGGTTGTACCTGGGGGAAAATAAGTTGGTTTTGCCTTAATGGAGTAAATGCTCATTGTGCAGATATGGCAGCCTCGTTAGTGTATGGGTTGTGTTGGGATACAAATGGCCCTGTCAAACACTCTCTTATGGCTCTATGCACAGCTTCTGTATCGCTAATGAAGGATTAAAATTTGCCTGCAGAGTCATCAAAGAGAGGCATTTCAGGGTGCATGTCTCATTACTTTATGATCAATTATACCCTTTGCGTGGAAGTACTAATCATGTTTTCAGGACTACTTATCTTCCCAAAGGTCCATTCATTTTGTAAGAGACTGTTTTGCACCTAACTATCATTATTGCTGCTGCTGTTATTATTATTTATTACTACAACAATAGCTTTTAGAAGATGCAGTTAGAAATCAGTTACCCTAGTTATGACGAGTGATGGAGCAAACCCCCCCAAAAGATGATTGCTTCCCAAAGCAGATTTTGCAAGCTAAGTAGAAGGGTATGGACATGTCATCAAAAGCTACCTCTGTCTTCAAGTGTATCTAGGAAAAAATCCGAAGTGTGAAGGAGGGAATGACTCAGCACAATGTGGGGTTTGCCTGAAATGATTTTTTCAGTTGTTGCTTTAAAATCATGGAATCAAATAATAAAGCATTTTACAGGATTTGGTGTTTAGGACGTTAAAGTGTGAGACGTGTGGGGTCCAGGGGCATCCCTGTGTTCTCAGCAGCAGCTGGGAGATGGAGATGGTGAGCAGTTGCTAAGCAGCTCACCTGGGGTGGCCTCAACACCATGACCTGTGTCCACCCAGATCGGGAAGTGGAACCAAATCTTGCCAAGGAAGGTATGGTGGCAAAGCCCTGCTTCACTGTCCTCGAGAGTGCTACCATTGACTCAACCTTCTTCTTTCAGCATCATCCACTCTGCTTTAAGCGGTGGGAGTCTTCAAAGCAGTTTTCCAATACCTAATGGGGGCCTACAGGTAATCTGGAGAGGGACTTTTTACAAGGGCAGGTAGGGACAGGACAAGGTGGAATGGCTTTAAACTGGCAGAGGGGAGATTTAGGTTGGACATTAGGAAGAAATTCTTCCTTGTTAGGGTGTTGAGGCCCTGGCACAGGTTGCCCAGAGAAGCTGTGGCTGCCCCATCCCTGGCAGTGCTCAAGGCCAGGTTGGATGGGGCTTGGAGCAACCTGGTCTAGTGGAAGGTGTCCTGCCCATGGCAAAGGGTTGGAACTGGATGAGCTTTAAGGTCCCTTCCAACCCAAACCAGTCTGGGATTCTATGATCTTTCTTGTTATCAGCACAGATCCAACCCTCGGTGAACCTTAAGTCACAAAATGCCTCATAGCCACTGGCGCTTGACTTAGAGGTCAGAATACTGAAGGCAAAAGGCAAGCAGGTAAAGAAACAGAAATGCCTATACAGCCTATAGTGTGTTTGCACTACTGCCAAAGATGAAACTGCAGACCATACACAAGCTAACCAGCTCCAACTATAACGTGCATCGCAGTGCAGCTCGAGCACTGTCAGACAGAGGAATTGCTTTACACATATTGGAATGCTTTCCTGAATCCTTGCCTCAAGGCTGCTGTGCAGAAGTGTACGTGAGCCGTTCCACACTCAGGAATCACAGGAGTGTAACAGCTGCCAGGGCTGCAGCTGCAGGTTGTAGGTTTGCTCTGCACAGCCGAAAAATATAAACAAGAAAACCCGGTGGGTCCTCCCTCCATTGATCTGAAATGTGGGGTTGATGGAGCAAGGACTGAGAGATCTGGCTTGCAGGAGCTGGTACAAGGTCTCTCACCCTGACATCTGACAGCAGGGCTGCAACCTGTCAGTCCACTTTCTTGGGGAGCAACCCAGGACTTGCAGTCATTGTAGACTCGGTTTAGGCCAGTTATTCTAATTTACCACCTTTTCCTCTCCTTCTCCATTTGTTACATGCCTTTTACAGCTCCTCGGAGAAACTGTGCCAATGGAATACTCATGTGTAGAAAAAATGGCTTTTGAGATACAAAACACAACTAATTACAGCCTTACAATTAGCTGAATGCCCTTAACAGAATCCAAGGTGGTGGGCATCACAGTGCAGCATCTGCTATAGCATATGCTTTCCTAGTTTCCAGAAGATAACAGCGGGCATGTATGCTGCCATGGATTGTGCTTTCTGCCTGGAGAGCAGAGCAGCACGCAGATGCTCCACTATTTCTTCCACCCAAACTCTGTTAGAAACGTCTGATGCTGCACACATCTGTCACGATGAATTATGCTTTCTTGGCTTCAGATCCTTCATGCAGGCAGACTTATAACGATGCAACAGTAATTCATGTCCCATCATTCCTGAATGCATACTTCATCCTAAGGGTAGGTGTTGTACTGAGAACGGTGTAATAGGCAGCATGGCATCACATGAGTTTGTGCCCAGCTCTGAGGTGCTTCACACTGTTCACTGAATTACCATATAAAACAGAGGAGCTGCTGCTTTCTGCCTGGTTTGGGTTTTTTTCCCCTGTGGTATTGGAAAGCTGCAGTGCTCTTCTGTGCAGTTTAGTGAACTAAACCCAAAATGCCTTATTATTTCTATTCTGTAGATTAACTTTGCCTTGCCTAAAACATCCCAGAATAGTTGTAGCCCTGCTAATATACTGCTCAACATGCTGAACTATGATACAGCTGAATTAGAGCTGACAAAGATTGAGCCAACTTAGTCAAGTACTGCTTCAAATTGAACACAAACCTTCTGTTCGATTGCTTTATTTTTTATCACATATTTGATGTTTTGCTGTCTTTTGCCTTAACCAGGCCTAAAACTCCAAAAAGAAATGTGTTTGTAAAGACATTAGTAAAAAATATGTCACTATAGTCACAAAACAGTAAGTAGTAGCTAACTTTGGACCACATCCATACTCCTAAGTACTGATTAATAGGAGAGCTTGCTATAGAAAGCAGGTCTCTGTTATTTAGCCTGTTACTTAATAATTAATTCTCTCTTCCCAGTTTGTTGTCAGCCTTCTGGCAGCTCCTGACAAAATAAAAAGAATTGTTAAATTATTTGGAAGGGCCTTGGCCAGGGTGTATAAACCTGTGATTTACCTCCAGTAAAGCCTAGAGGAAGGATGCTGAGAGAGAAAAAGGCCTGTGGCTCCTCCACCAGCAGCTGGAAAAGAGTCTGGCTCTGGTTGGGTGTTTGTGAGTGTAACTCTGCTTTACTGGGCATGCCTTCAATGTACTGCTGGAGCTGGTTGTTTGTTCTTCATTAATAATGATGTCGTACAGTTAGTGCATATGTCTTTATGAATTAGAGGACTATGACCATCTTGTGAGCACTATGTGTTTTTAGGTGGAGGCCATGAGTGCAATGGGGATTTAACCCCAGGGTCCCAGTGGTGGGACCAGAGCTACTGTGGAGGGTAAAAGTGGATTAGAGGAGGTAGGATTTTTCTCACTTGGGCCATAGTCTTAGTTCTCTGATGTACCAGTTGAGTCATACTTATTTATAACCATACATAATTATACACTTGCAGGTGTTAAATGAGACTGGTGGGGCTCCTTGTCTGCAAGGAAGTCCGAGTGCCTGGAAGAGGCACTGAGCTGAAAAGGCAGGCTGTGACTTTATATATGTACACGATGCGCAACAAAAGCCTTAAGACTGGATAAGGTTTGAAGGAGGATGAGTTGCAAGCTTTTTTCACTAGATGGCAAAACCCATGGCCTTTGATCCATTAATCTCTATGTCAGTTGGATCACAAATCCAATAATTAAGTACAGTGTAGTTTTGCAGCCCCTCTTCCAAAGACTTTCTTTCGCATTCTTATTTATCTTTTGTCTGTTGTCTTGAAATGTCAAAAGAGGGTGGTACAGCCATTCAGAGTCAGGTCTGAGCCTGATTCCTCTGTCACTTTTAGCATGTATTATGCACTGATTTAGAAACTATTTAAAAATACATTAAAGCCACCATGAGAAACGAAGGAAGCCCTTCACTTCGGAGTGTGTGTTTGATGCTTACCTCATTGAATTCAGGAAGAGGGGATTAATACAGACATAAAAGCTGTCTCTTTATCAGGAGCTTAAAAACACTCCAAGGGAAACAAAATCTGTTGTGCTTAGCTGCTATAATTTAAGAGCCAACTTCTGCTCTCATTTATAACAGCATAAATTTGAATTTGATTGAACTCTGGATTAACATCACTGCAAATGAGATAAAAATGTGACTTCAGAAGTTCATAAGGTAAGAAGCAGTTTTGCACCCGACCTTGTTCAT